TAAATTTATTTCTTAATTTGAAACTAGTTGGAAACTTCTTAGTAAAGATAAAAAAAAAAAAAAAAAAAACCTTTTAAATTTATTTCTTAATTTAAAACTAACGGGAAACTTTTAGAAAAGATAGAAAATATATAAAAGCACCGTTAATGTACAATGCCAAATATTTAGGGTTTGTTTTACCTGAATGTAACTTAATACCTATGTTCAATAAAAAAAGTCAGTGAATTCGAATCACACGTTCACATCTAATATTAAAAAAGATTTTTATGATTTTTTTAGAGTATTATAATATAAATAAATGGAGAGAATTCAAACCTAAAATGCACCAGAGTGACTATTAATATTATGATAAAGTCAATAATTTATTTATGGTTTAGATCCTATTTTCTATTTTTAAATTTCAAATGCATAGTCTATTTTGGTCTTTTTTTTTTCTCATTTCCTATTTCCTATCTCCTCTCTTTTTAATAAAAGAAAAGAAAATCATGTTTCTTGTTCTTTCTTTTTACATGGAAAAAAATAGAAATATTTTTGTAACTATTTCTTATTTCTTGTCCCTTAAATTTTAAATTAAAAAAGTAAAATTTGTATATAAAAATAAAATTTTTTACAATTAAATATCCATTTTTAATATTTATTATTAGTCAAAAGGTAAAATAATACTTTTATTTATATTTTGGAAAAAACAAAAAAAATGGGAACAATAAACAAGAAACTTAATTTTGTTGCTTACAAAATTTAGACAAKTTTATGAACATTTCTTAAAAATAAGAAATGAGAAACAAAAACAATCAATAAATGCTTGTGTTCCTCAAAACTGAAAAATGAGAAACAAGAAACAATAATTAGGAACATTATTTTGCGGGTCCTAATTTTTTTATATGTATCAAAATTAAGTTAGTCTTTAATAGCTGAATTTTTAAAATAAAATATTTAACAAAAGCATGACGTAAAGCACATCTTTCCTTTCGCGTAAAGATGTCTATATGAAATAAGATCTTGAAATCATTGCATTAGGTAAGGTGTGTTGAGTTTTCTAAATCCGTTCTTGTCAAAATATTGGATGAGAAATAACATTGATATGATTAAGATAGTTTTTTTTKTAAAGTTTAAGGACTAAAGCGAGCTATTTTAAAGTTTATAGACTAAAATAAAATAGGTACAGAACTTGGAAGTTTATGAACCAAACTACCATTTAAACTCTTTTATTTATCTATCMAAGGAAATGATAACAATGATTTTTTTCTTTCTTACTAAGATAATTTCTAAAATAAATCCTCTAAAATTTTCGGAACTAGATTCCTGGTAAATTTAATTAATGTATTGGATATCTCACACTCGAGACTTGGAAAATTTGGAAAATTGCAACAAAACCCAACAAGTGAAATTCATAAAAAATGGGAAGGAAACAACGAATTCTTTTCTTTCTAATTCTCTCCCGATATAACTGTTCAGTATGTAAGGATGGAGAATCGAACTCATAACCTCTTAGTAGAAGATATATGTCAATTACCACTAAGATTGTAGATGCTCGGTTAGACTTTAACTTTATTTGTCAATCACATGCATTGTTAGATTTGCCCAAAAAGTTGTTTGTTTGTATTTTCCCAACTCATGTTAAATGGGCCCAAAATAGGCCACATGGCCAAGAGGCCCACATGAGGAGCCATCTTTTATCTCTTTTCTACTTCTCTTGAATTTGAACTTTGATCACTTGTCTGTTTCTAGACCATTTTTTTTCCTTTTGTAAGGGCATAATCCCAAACCCTAATCAATATTTTCCGATACCATGTTTTGAGTAAGGATATAAATCAAACCCTAAATTCTAGTTTAGTTACACTCGAGCAGTAGATTTATAAGCTTAGATCAGGAGATTTCGAGTCATTGAACTTTTAACTTTAATATATATTATTAAGAATTTTATTCTAAATATAAAGTTTGACATCCACTCCTCRAAGTTTGKGAGAGGGCGAACGTTCAAATTTGCAAGCGGAGACACGCTTCTCTTTTACTATTTATTTTATTTTTTAAAKTTTTTCAACAAAAAAAATTGTTATTTTTATATTATTTATTTACAATATCTATTTTTAACCGAAAAAAGTTGTTTTTTTATTTACTAATTATATTTTTTTCAACAAAAAAANTTTTTTTCTTCATTTAAATTAATAATTTAAACTTTTATATCTTAAAAATTTTTATTGGAAGCCATATTTTATTTAAATTTAAATAATTCAAATTTATCTATATGATATCTACCAATAATATGATGTTATAAGTTTTTTTTTTAATTTAGATCTAATTTTTTCTTGACATCAAATATAACTGAAAATGAATTAAAACATTTTTTATTTTAAATAAATTAAATTTTAAAAACTAATTACATAAAAAGAAATCATAATTTTTRTAAAAGAAAAAATTGTAATTTCAAGTTTCATTATCTTTATTATATATTTCAATAATTAAGAAGTTATATTCAACGAACTAACATCAAATTATAAACTAATACTAATGTATATCGATGCATTCTAAATCATTCTTTCGCGTAARGTTCTGGATATGCCATGGGGTGGAATTAAATTTTTTATAAATATAAAGTTGAAACTAACTTCATATATATTATAATAATTTGTTTGTATAATTTAGCTTAATGTCTTACACTGTATTTGAAAAACATTTTCTCCAAATCGGTAGAATTATTTGACGGCGAATTTCGGAGAGGTCTACGTGTCCCTCAGAGGTACTTGCTCGTCGAGGTTCAAATGAGTAAAACTTTACACCGGTGCGATATCCCACCTACTCCAACGCTCAAGTTAGTTATTGGAGTAGGAGGAATCTGACGGCGGTTGGACTGATCTAAGAAGTGGACTAACCAGGAAGACGATGGTTAGAGGTGCAGGCTACGCCAAGCTGTACGAGGCCCTAGCGGAGGGGCAGACATTCCTAATAGTTAATGGGTATTGCCTCCGCCTGCAGGCTTGTCCCCTTACCATAGCAGGTGGCAAGCTACAGTCCTCGACGTCTCACTCATTCAATGGTGGTGGCAACGTGCCCATACGCGTGTGCAGCGTACGATGCTAACTGTYTGTAGTTCTGCACTTCGCTATTGCTCCCCACGCGTAACGCATGTCTTGCTCGGATTTCTCCCTCAACAATATATATACACATTTTTTAGTCAACAACATTTATACGTTGAGTAGCTGACTTAAGCTCGAGATGACATCGATAGTAAGATATGCATGTAGAGAAGTGTTTCATAAATCTTTGTTAAATTAAAATTTTAAAAGTTAATGTTCAAAGAAATATTATAGTCTCAATTTTATGAAAATGTCTATATTGATTGAGATTTAAAAAAAAAATCATAAAAATCAACCAAATTCATAAAAATATTTAAATTAACAAATATGCATAGCATTCTCACATCTTTTAATAAATTAAAATTTTTATTATTAATATTACATCCACATTAGTAACATTAGTTGATTTTTGTACTATATAACAAAATAACAAAATCGTGGACCTCCCTAATCAACATGAAACTCATTCAAATTTAATATAAAAAGAATTAAAAAYATTTCTATTCTAAAAAAAAAAAAGAATTAAAAATATTTACAGGTCTTGTCTATTTGTAATTTAATTTTCAATAAAAAAGATGAGGCAAGCACGAACGCTCACGAGTACTTCCTCAATAATATAAATAGTCAACCAATTACATTTTATAATATCTATATTTTTATGAAAAGGACCTTACATTAAAATTTATAACTTTTTTTAATTTTAAAATCAGCTATAATATTTGGGTGTTTTGAATATTTATTGTATAAAATTTTTTAAATTTTTWAAATGTAGTACCTTATATTTTAATAATTTTCTAATTATACATTTTTTTGGTTGATGAATTGACAACTCATTAAATATCATATCAGGCAAGTTTATCATCAATAAATTTAAAATTCACCAATGAAAATTGTTAACAACATATGGGGCCGAGATTTGAACTTTAGATTTTCTAGTCGATGGCTTCAAGTTTAAATCTCATTTTGGTTCTTAAAAATTTGAAGATTCTTTTGATTTTGATTTCTAAATTTTCAAAAGGTTTATTTTTCTTTTTAAACTTTTGAATGGTTTGATTTACCAACTTTGAGTTTATCTCATTTTTGGCTAAATATTGAACTTTTAAAATATATATTCTAGTATATAAACTTTAAAAAAATAACCAATTTGGTTATTATCTTTATTTTATTTTTAACAAATATGATAAGAGTATTAATTTGCCAATGGTGGGCACATATTTGAGCTACATAACTTGGCTAATATAAGTATTGTATTAGGGAATAAAATAATATACCAAAGACCAAAATAATTTTTTTTAGTTTGACCATTGAAATAGACATTTTTAAGATTTAGTGACCGAGTTAATTGGGTTTTTTATAATAATTTTATGGACAAAATATTTTTTTAAAAAAATCAAGACGAAAATAAGATTTAACATTTTTAGGATGGTTTAACATGCCCCAACTTAAACAAATTTCTAAATTTTCATTTTCTTTCTTGTCTAATAGGTTCTTAACCTAATAAATATTTTTAAAAATTAACRTATCTATTTTATCTAGAATASTCAAGGTGAGCATAAGTCARCCTACCCCGAATCCACATGGTTTCAACAAAACAAACAAATAAATAAATAATATACCTATTCAATAAAAATAGAAGGTTCTATTTAATTTGTGTTTAATAGATCCCTGAATTTTATAATTCAAAAACTTATCAGTCCCATAATTGAAAATATATAGGACTATYAAACACAATTAAAAAAAACATGAACATATCTTAACGATAAATATCATAATTCCAGGTTTAAATCTTCATATCCATATTTATGGTAAAAAAAAAAAAGACTAAATTTATAATTTAATCTRATAATAATTTGGTTTTGAAAAAATAAAAAGCTCCGCTGGCGCCTCCGTGGGATTTGGGTAGGCAAAGTTTCACATGTCATTCACTTTGTTCATTCAATACTCACACACCGACTCATCAATGGAAAGGTAGAAACCCAAGAACAAAAAGACCAGAACAGAACCCACGAAGATTCAAGAACAAAAAATGGTTCCCACTTTTCTCTAATTCCCTTTAGCCCCGCCAACGCCAACCCCAACCCCAACCCCAACCCACCCAAATTTGCATTACTTCTTTTGCAACTCTCTCATCTTATGATTTTAGTTTCCTTTTTCTGTATCCATGGAATTTTCTGCTCCACAAAGAAGGCTCCTCAAAGTTATCTTCCTCGGTGACAGTGGGTAAGCCGTTTTGTTAGGTTTAGTTTTTGCTTTGGAATTTGTTTTCAAATCTTTTGATTCTGTTCTGAAACACATACATTTGCTTCAAGAATGTCTTTGTTTACTTTTTTCAGGGTGGGAAAGACTTCTTTGATGAACCGGTATCATTTTGAAGTGCTTCTTTGGAGTGTCATTTTATTTGAGTGAAATGTGTACTTCCAAGTGTTTGATAAAATGCCTAACAGAAATTTTTATCAACTGATTTAGATATGTATATAAGAAGTTCAATCAACAGTATAAAGCAACTATTGGTGCTGACTTTATGACGAAGGAGCTACAGATTGATGACCAACTTGTCACGTTGCAAGTGGGTAAATCATAATTTATTGTTTTATTTTTGGTAAATTTACTAACGGGTCCTAAATGTTGTTTTGAAGTATCTAATAGGTTCGGTTAGGACCTATTAAATACTTTAAAGTTAAAACTTTACGGGCACTTGAAATGTAGGGACTTGCGAAACACAACAATAAACTTGTAGTTTAACTAATTCTTTACAGGCTTAGAGACAAATTTTCTGATTTTGAATATGTTTGAAATAGGTTTGGGACACAGCAGGGCAGGAAAGGTTTCAGAGTTTAGGGGCTGCATTTTACAGAGGAGCAGACTGCTGTGTTTTTGTCTATGACGTGAATGTAGTTAAATCGTTTGAATCACTAAGCAGTTGGCACGAAGAGTTTCTTAAGCAGGTATTTCGTATTTTAAAACTTACTCGAGAAAATATAGTTGTTGATTTCTTAACCGGTCCATGACTTTTGTTATTTTTCTTTTACAAAAAGTAATTACTCTCCAGCTATTTTGACTTGCCTGGCTAATTTTCTGATGGCTGTGCTAAAATACTGCAGTATATACAATCTTAATAGCAAAATATAGGTATTAAGTTATTAGAAAAGTATGCTATTTATAGTCAAAAAGTAGAAATATCCCATTGATAGATGTGTAACACAGAGTCACTATCTAAGAAGCTCAAACATTTTAGTTTAGTCTGGGTACAGTGTGCATCCGACACTTGAACATCCCAAGACTTGCCAGACACTTTGTGAGCACAATGGATATATGACACTAGTTGTACAAAGTGAACGTACTAGATTTGAGCGTCCTAGATTTTTAAAAATGATGTGCCACTATGTCTGTGGCGTGTGCGTGTTGTGTTTGTATCCGTGCATTTAAGTCATTGTGCCCTACTTTCTTGTCTGATCTATTGCATTGATTTTACTCAAATACATATCTTATATAGATGTTTATTGCTTTTTACAAAAGGTTACATATTTTTCTAGTATTTGGTGGGAGAACTCTTAACATGTTTTATTAATACATATGTTTAATCAAATAACTATCAAATACTTTTAAATGATTTTGACTGGATAACATGATCATGATAATATATCGCACTCGATATTGACGTCTAATGTTTCACATTTTCTTTCCTAACATTGGACAGGCCGGGCCAGCCAATCCAAAAGTATTCCCCTTTTTGTTGCTTGGGAACAAGATCGACGTAGACAATGGATGCAGCCGAGCAGTAAGGATTTTGAAATCTCTATTTGAAACTATTGATAAAGTTCTCCAAGAATCATATAAATCATCCTTTGAGTGCAGGTCTCAGAAAAAAAGGCAAGCGAATGGTGTGCTACTAGTGGAAACATGCCATACTTCGAGACCTCAGCAAAAGAGGATTATAATGTCAATGAAGCATTTTTATGCATTGCTAAAGCCGCATTAACCAATGAAGAAGAGCAGGACAAGTAAGTTTGAGAATATGAATTCCGTTATAGAATAAGACAATCACTTCATTGGCATCATGCCAGCTCACTTAGTTCTTTAGATCTTTTTCGACTAGTTAGGGTGAGTTTGGTATGATTTTTAGAATGCCAACTAAGAGTACTTTTCAGAGTTAAAATGATTTTGAAAATTCTAAACGTATCTAAAACCTTAAATTGCTTATACTTAATTTGCGTTTCTTCCCAAAAAAATCTTTGTAGAAAGCTATTTTGATAACTAAAACCCTTTTCAATGTTGATATTTGGAAAAAAGTCCAGGGGACTAAGTGTGTGTTGGGGAGTGATGGAGAAGAAGTAATTTTAAAAAAAGAGATAATAATTGGTTTTTCAAGATCACCATCTAAGTGATACCTTAAAAATCAATTTTAAGTGATTTTATRTTTTTCTAAAATCAATTTTTAATTTGTCAAACATAATGAATAGAAATGGAATTGATTTTGACAATAGCAAAAGTGATTTTGGCATGTCAAAATCACTCCAAAGCACATCTAAGCATGGTGTGMAAAAGCACTTGGTCCCAGCACTTGAACTGAAAATGCTCAAAAGTACATCTTAGAGTATAGAATCATGCATCAAAATGATTTGTTATTAAACATTTGTAACTTAAGTGCTCTTATTCTTAAAGTATTTCCAAACCCATTTCTAACAATGCAGTATAAGTTTCATTTGTGGAACGAGTTAAGAGAAAAAAAAAAAAGAAAAAGTCAGTGATTAGTAACACGAGTTGATACAGAAATTGGAGCTTATACTGAACGCTTTTGATTTGCAGTTACTTCGAAAGTATCTCTGACTCTGTTTCAGAAGTGGAGACAAGGGGAGGAGGCTGTGCTTGTTAATAATTTCTTCATCTACAAATGAACAACCTTAACTGAACTTTCTGATTGATTTGAGGATTTTTCTGATATAATAAATATGTTAGGTATTCTTTGAGGTGTGTTTATTCCCATCTTATGTAAATTATTATTTATCCTGAAAAAAAAAATTCAGGTGTTTTTTCTTTTTGCCTTCTCTTTGTGAACTTCTGAAAACAGTTTATTCAAGTGTGTAAAGAACCAATAAAATGCATTGGTTTGGAAGCCCTGATCGGCCTTGAGTTTACTTTGTTTGCGCTAATGAACAATTTGATGTTATATACACTACAAAGTTGTAAAATATTTCAAAGTTTGGTTAATGTTTTAAAAGCCTTGATAAATCCCTAAATTTTAAAGGTGTCTAATATGTTTCGAACTTTCAATCTTTATCTAGTAGATCTCTGAATTTTATTTTGGTATTTAATTTGGTATCTAACCGGTCTTTGAACTTTCTATTCGTGAACAAGACACTTATAATACAAAGAATAATAAAAGTGGTGATTCATTTCAAGCTGGTTGCTCGTTTTCAAACATTTTTACCTTTAATGTAAAATCATTAAATAGAACATGAGAACATGAGAAGAGAATCAAAACCAAAAGCAATAAGCTGATCATGGCATTATCTTTTTCTTTGTTGACCTTACATAAAGGCTATCCACAACCTTGCCAATGTTTATGATGGTTTCAAGAGTTGCTGCATATATTCCATCTATTTTTGGATCATCAAAAATGATGAGGCAACCTTGATCCAAATTTCCTGTTAATTTCTTATCCAAAATCATCTGAGATAACTTACTTTCTACCAGATCGACAGGCAGCTCAATCAGATTAGCAACATGGACAATCTCGACCCTCGAGAACGGTTCGATCAACCGATACAGGTTTTTCTCAAACAAAGTATTGTAGAGGGAAGAGAGCTGCAGGTGGACAAGTAGATCTTCCTGTAGTTGAGCTCTAAAATCTCTAAGTGCATCCTTGAAGAGCTTTATAGAACAACGCTTGGAATGAGTAGCATAAGCCACTGCTTTCATGGCATTTATCTCAATCTCCTTATCATAACACTCCCCATAACGCGAGATTGCGAACTGCACAAGATACGACTGATCACACATTATTACACACAACAACAAATATTTGAGGCAAATCACAGCACGGGGATCTTCGAAAAGGTCGAAAGCTGTAAGAGCTACAGCGAAACTGTGGAAAGCAGCACAATAATCCTTCTCCTCCGCATGGAGGATGCCACTCTGTAAATCAATGGCGCCCTGCTGGTGTATAGGCACATATATGGATTGAGCAGTTATTCTTGCAGCATAAAGTGCCACATTTGCCATGGGAAGATTCCTTAGACAAAAGTAAATCTTGCTCTCCAACAAGTTTATCTCTATAAGGAGAAGCTTGTCCTCCATTCTTCCCACTTCCTTGATCAACTCTGCAAGGAGATTCAAGGCATCTGAGTAGTCCTTTTCTTCAATCAGTAGAGCAGCAAGCCTGGCCTCGACCCAATACCGAAGGGAAGTTCGGTTCTCCGCACGTGTCCACTGCACCAGTTCCTTGCATAGAGAAATTTGCAACTCAGATGTGCCTGTGATATCTCCTATAACATCAATGATGTCACGAACAATTCTAGCCGTCTTTGCTTTGGATATCAAGCTGAATAATGGTGTTAGTTGAGTGACAAGGTTTCGAAGATCCTCGGCTCGATCAGTGTCGTTGAAAATATAGCATATATCTATTATGGCCTGCTCTTTTATATTTAGGGCCTCAGGGGAAGATGAAGGGTTTGCAAGTACGCGGTAAAGGATTGAAATTGCTTCAGATGGGCTATCGTTTTCTGAAGCCAGAATAAGTGTATCCATGGTCGCTGGCAGGTAGGACATCGACATAGTTATAGTGTTGAGAAAATCCAAGTTCTGCAACATCAAAATTGTAAAACATTAACATCCCAAAAAGGGAACATAGATAGAGAGATGGAGCACACTCCTAACAACTGAAGCAATTTTATAATGTAATGTAGAAGCAAAATTTTAGAAAAAACGAAATGGTTATCAAACGAAGCTTAACTTTTTAGYAGTTCACATGAACTATGAACGTATAACAACTCAACAAGAAACACACACCCTCTAAAGCAATAAAACCAAGACTCAAAGATTTACTTACCACCGGAAGAAAGAATTCAGACCTTTTTATTGATTCTTTAGCCGACGACTTGCTGTTATTAATCCGAGTACTAAAATGTGGGCTAGTAGTTAAAGTGATATGTTATTAAGTGAGCCTATGAATTTTTATTGAGTATGAGCTTATGGGTAGATATCCATTAACTTTCGGGACTACTAAAACGAGCATAGCTCCACGGTAATTGACATCTACTCCTTCTCGGATTCAATTACTCATGCTCCCAATGCAAATGTTATGGTATGGAATACCTTAAAAGAATCTCCAATGTCCTATTATGATAAAGAGAGCTTTAGTTCTGTATATTTAGTTTGGAAAGATCTTTTCCGGATACAGAGTTGCTATTCGATTTGATCCCTGTAGAACAACATTGATTAAATGATCCAAGTTAGATCGTTCAACTTATGTTCTTGATTCTAATGATTCAACATGCATGATTCTAGAGTTATTCCTCTTGATAAATAATCCAAATATATGCGAGTCTATACCAGAAACAGCACAATGAAATTTACCGAATCTAAAAGAGAGGATGTCAAATTCAGACTAAGCCATCAAGAAATCTGACTCCGACTACAGAAAAATGCTCAAGAACTTCAAGTAGTATAAATTTTAAACTTCAAATGGGAAGTAAGAATCCAGCCTCAAGAAAACTTGGCCGATCAAAAATTAGGATAGTGAGGAAAGTTTTCAGAAATTCAGATTCGCAGATCGAACAACCCTAATATATAGATTATAGAAGAAAAAACGTGTTTGTAGAATCAAAAAACAGAGGAAAGAAATCAATGAGAGTAAGAAGTAATGGAGGAAAGAAATGCGTACTTGGAGAGAAGAAGCCCCAACGAAAATGGCGGACTGAGGAAGAAAAATATGGAATCTTCAGAGACGAAATGAAAGACCGTTAAGAATCAACGGAACAAACCGGTATACCAGATTTTTGTAATTTTTCTTTATATACATATATATATATATATATTTATTACTATTTTAGGAATAATGACCAATCACATTCATTTATGATTTATGTATTTATTTTTTACTTAAGAAAACTAGCCACTCCGGTTATATTTGAACTTAGATGAGTTTCTGAAGAAGAAAAACAGAGCTGATATTTTACATGACAACTTGTTGGATTTCCTTGCACACGGATATTTACACATGCAAAATACTATAATTCATATGAAGTAATATACTAATCAAGCAAAATAAACATATATATATATATATATAATTTATTTTCGAACATCTTAATAAA